CCAGCCTAAGGGCAACCAATACAAACATAAATACAGTTATAAGCATATTATTATAAACACTTCTGTACACCTGGGGTTGAGATCACTAATTTAGAAAGATTGCTCACAGTAAGAAAAGGGACAAAGTATACATTTGCTGGAAACAAAGGCAGTCAGCTGCCAATGTTGAGGTTTGCAAGTAAAATGAAACACAAGAATGTGCAGGAGTATGTGGGCAACATCACTATCAAAGTATAGCTTTGCAACCAATGTGGAATGAGATCACAATAGCTGCTAAAAGAGTTGTACAGAATGTTGTTGTGGTCTGAAAAATTGTTGAATTATTTAAGAGCAGTCTATCTCAAATGGACTTTAAATCTGATAATGGATTATTTGAACAGAAACATTATACACCCAGATAATTTGTACCAAGGAGTGTTCGACAACTTTAGAGAGCTGATATGGCAATTTTGTGGTGGACCTTTTCACATCTGGGCAGAATTTCAAACTAAGATATTTTTAGTAGATGGAAGCATGGGTGCAGAGGGGCACAATCCATTAGTGCTGGATTGGCTGCAGACTACTATATGCTTTCCCTCTATTGCCAGTAATGCAGAGGTCTCTAATAAAAATCACAATGAAGAAGTGGAAGTTGTTTTAATTGTGTGTGCAAAAATGAATAATGTACATAGAAACAATTTATGTTCTGCAAAGCACTCTTTTCTGAAAGTGTTTTTGTGCAAGTAATTTTTTATGGAAGTAAAATCCTGAAAAAAATGGAAATCATAATCCAGCACAGTAGAGCATAAACACCAGAAATTGTTCATTCGAGGATAAAATAAAGTTTTACATCTTTATCGGATACTAAATTTTCTTCAAGATGGCAGCAAAAAAATAGGGTTTAAAGAAACTGCTGGGTGTCCTACTTTACAAATGTCAGCATTTCTTTATTTATTTACTAACTATATTTATATCCTGCCTTTCTCGACCCTGAGGGGACTCAAGATGACTTACATCATAGGCAATAATTCAGTGCCTTAAAAGCAATATACAATTACATAAAGATTTCAATTAAAAAATTAAAACAAGGTTAGAAAGCATCAAAACATTTAAAACATTACAATTACCAGTATAAAACCACACTATCTGCTATCATATTCACAAGCATCTTAGAAGTTTTATTTTTAAATTTTGTTTCTATTAGTCCCCTAGATGGCAGTGTTGAAAAGCAGTTGGTTAGAAACTACATTTTTTAAAAACCCAGTTACTTCACCGTTTACTTGCCATGTTCCAAGCCAGTTCTAGAGCAGCAGAATTCTAACATTTTAGGACACATTCAAAATAAGTGCTTATATTGTATTGTAAAGCATTGTATCGCATTAAGTGACAGTGCATTCCTTTTGATGTGTCCAGAAACCATAATTTATTATAACAAGGATGAGTTGCAATAAGTGGATGAGAGGAAGCCACAGGGAGGAGGGAGCAAGCTTGTTTTCTGCTTCCTTGGAAACTAGGACATGGAACAATGGCTTCAAACTACAAGAGAGGAGATTCCATCTGAACACGAGGAAGAACTTCCTGACTGTGAGAGCCGTTCAGCAGTGGAACTCTCTGCCCCGGAGTGTGGTGGAGGCTCCTTCTTTGGAAGCTTTTAAACAGAGGCTGGATGGCCGTCTGTCAGGGGTGATTTGAATGCAATATTCCTGCTTCTTGGCAGGAGGTTGGACTGGATGGCCCATGAGGTCTCTTCCAACTCCTTGATTCTATGATTCTAAGTCTCAGGCTTGCACCCTCTCAGTTTTTCTGAAAAAGGAAAGATGGAAAGATTTTATTTCTCTTCCTAATTACTGAAATTTAACACTATGTCTCTAACCCTAAAGTGTAGTTAATCAACAAATGCAATTGCCATTGGTGGAGACTATTTTGAATAGTACCATGTTGTAGAAAAGAATTACTTTACACATATATGTAGTTGCATGTGTTTCATGTTGTTAATAAATGACATATTACCTTTAGTGCAACTTTTGTAGTTGCTATTAGGGCTGTGCATAGATACGTTTTTCAAAACGTTCTCCAGATCTTTCGGCTCTTTAAGCCGGCCGTAACAGCACAGGCACCATCACCAATTTTTTCCGGCTGCAACAGACCACGCAGCTGCTGACAACGGCTACTTTTGGTTTCATTTGGCTACATGTGGAGCAAGGAGAGGCAGCCACGCACCTGCATAGGATTTCCCTGTGAGTCCTACCTGTTGAGCAATCAGAAAAGAAGAAAGCCACAACATGTCATTTAGCCAAGCTGGGCCTTCATTTTTCTGTTGTGAATAGACTCCTGAAAGAGACAGATCATGCATCAGTCCACTGGTGATCTAAATTCTCATTGCCGATCACAGCTGTTCTGCATTGCTTGCCTTGGTTTTTTATTCAAATAGCAACGAATAAGCATTTATTTTCCACACACTTAAGAAACTGACATCGATGGTGCCCATCACATGAAGCAAACTTCAAATGTGGGGAAGAGGTATCTTGCAATTTCTAAAACTGCCATAAAATGTGGAGGTAATTTATATCTTTTTTAAAGAGAGAGTGGCTAATGCTCCTTCAGGTGGTGTGGCTCCCACTAAAATAAGTATTTGAAGGGTGCCTTCACTTAGCTTCATTGACAGGGTGTTGAGGAGAAATGAAGCTAAAAAAGGTGGTTCCTTTCATCTGATGCCTTAAACCTAAGTGTTATTGAAGGATATAAGGAGAAAGGATTCCTCAACCCTTTTTTGTAAGTCACCCTGAGTCTCCTTCGGAGTGAGAAATGCAGTAAATAAATAAATAAATAAATAATAGTTCATGGGTTATGAAGAGGAACGATCCCAGCAAAAGTGGTTTCTTAGGACTGATGCCCTAAAAATGATTGATGCCCTAAAATGGGGAGCCTGGGAAGTTTCCCCATTGCCGCCAATGGGCCAGATCTTCCCTGAGCAAAACAGATTTTTCAGCTGCTGGATTGAAAAACAAAATTTTGTCCACCCTAATTTGAGCGTCTCCTAAAAACCGGATTGGGAGGGGGCACCGAAATCTGGACACCAAAAAATGGTACCGTGTTTAGCCAAATTGCACACCCCTAGTTGCTATCTTTAAAAAGTTTAAGATCAATTGCCAATCTTTTTTTTCCTCTTTCACTTTACAGTGGAAACATATTGGGAGGTGTGCTTACAGTGGCATGTTTCTTCTTCAACCATGGTGAGGTAGGTTGGTCACACTGATCAGTTGGTGAGCAAGAAACACTTATTCTATCAGTCATATGAGAATATAGAATCCATTGATTAGATATAATAGCGACTTATCTATATTGGTTTTAATGAGTTTAAGTCACAACAGGTTTCTATCAATTGAATCGAAGGTTGCTACTAAGTCAACAAAGGCAACAAATATTTGATAATACCAGATATTTGATAATTCTTTGTTGGGCTAAAAATCAGATAATGGTCAACAGTAATCTGACCTTTCCTAAAACCATCTTGTTCAGAGTGAATATTATCATTAATATATTTCCATTTTCCCAATTTATTTAGGAAGTATTTACTGTGTAACTTTGAGTCAGCATTTAAAAGACTAGTAGGTTGATATTGGGGATTTGTTTATCATCCTTGTTGTGAACAGGGACAGCTATGCTCTATTTTCAGCTCACTGGAATTATACCTGTATTGTTGATTGCGTAAACACTTTGGCTAATATTGTGACCCACCACTCAGGAAAATATTTGAATATTTCTGGTGAAATTTTCTATGATTTTCAGTACTTTTGTCTTCTAATAGAGTGTTTTAAAGAAGAAGAAAAGTAAAAATTGGAACATGCTGTGAATTAACCAAAATTCTCGTTTCTAGAGTACTCGTGTGATGTGGACTCCCCCACTTCGTGAAAGCTTCTCATACCCATTCCTTGTGCTTCAGATGCTATTACTAACCTACATTCTCAGGTAGTTTTTATTTTTTTCATTAGTTAAATATGATTAATGTTTTAAAAATCACTAAAATAGTGTATTGCTTTAATCCACATATAGTGGAGAATGTATTACTACTGGGCTTATAGTTTTCTGTACAGAAAGTTGCATCTCTGCTTTTTTCAGTATTATTCCACTGACAAAGAATTCCCTATCATCATATCTAGCCGTAAAGATGGAGTAGAAAGGAAAACATTAATGGGAAACAGTGAAAGAAACACATGTATGCGAGTATTCTGTAATTCTCAGCGATCATGTAATGTTGGCATAGCTGTACTGCCACATGTTCTTTACATTTTTTTTCTGTACCTGTCAATGGAACAGATATATTGTGTTTACAATATTTTTTCTGTAGCTATTACTGACTTGATTAGGCGTGGTATAGAAGAATATCACCATCTGCCATGGTTCAATATCAGGTTAACCTGTATTGAGGATTTTCTGTAAAACCACTCAGTTGTCTCTTCTTTCAATCTAGAACAGATTATTGCTACATTCAAGGCAAATATCTTATTTAAAAACAGTTACTATGGTAGAAATGATTTCCTACCTCTGTTTCTTCTCTGTTTTTGGGTGTGTGAAAAACAATGAAAGCGGGAGCTGAGCCCTTGCACTACAAAACTTCCCATAACTGATAAGCCAGAGTTCCTTCATATCTCTAGCATATCCTGTCATTCAAGATGAACCAGTAGTTTTGTAATTGTCATTATTGTGTTGCATGCACATAAAATGTTATAGCTTTCTTTTATGTATCATGACTTCCTAGTGCTTTGATTTGTATTTCTTTTGTATGTATAATTTTCTAATTTATTGTCCAGTGTTGATATTCTGTGCCAGTGATGATTCATATTAATTACTGGGATTTATCCAAAGCTTTTTAAATTACATTTTTATGGCTGTGACTGTCTTAAGTGAACTTTTAGTCTGCAACACTTAATTTTCTGATGCTCTTTGTATAAATAAATAGCCACAATATTGTTGGACTTACTGTTCTTTTATTCTCTTCCCCAAGGACTCAGAATGTTAATAGAAGAAGCCTGATTGCACTATCTGTTTCTAATGTTTTTTTCATGCTTCCATGGCAGTTTGCTCAGTTTGTACTTCTAACACAGGTAAAACAACAAATTGTAATTATTCAAGTGTAAATTTGTGTTCTAATTTTCCAGTAAAAATAAGCATAGCAACACAAAGCAACACAAAGTTTATACATGTGTATGATCATGAAGTGTTTTACTAGTTCCCTTCATAGAATAGTTGTGGGGTTTTTTCCCTGTGCTTAGGGTAGTGGCAGAGAACTTCAAGTACTGGAGTTCATGATGTCCTAAACTGCATATTTCAGAAAACGTAAATATTGCCAGTCTTCTGATTGTAGGAGAAGAAAAAAATGACTGTTAATCATCTAAAAATTTAATAATTTTATTTAAGAATATGTGTCAATAATTGCATGTAACTTTTTCTCAGTGTATTAACTGAACATTTATTAAACACTACAACCGTAATTGTTGTGCACAGTGTATTTTGGGCAATATGTAGAGCTTATTCATGTCATGCAGTTGCTAGCAAATAAAAGTGTTCTGGTATGTTGTTTATTTTATTGTAATTTATATTGTAATGCTATTGGAATATGGCTTCACCTTTACTCTGAGCTAAAAGTAAGGTACTGTTTTCCAGTAAATGTTTTTGTCTACAAAAGCAAACAAAAGAGATAACAACAAAACTAAAACTATTTGAATTCACAGTGATCTGATAAAAAAAATAGCAAAACCATTTCCTGATATTTCCTTCTACAGATTAGTAACCATTTTGAGAGGTAGAAGAAGGGTTTGCCAGCTATCTCCCATCAAAATGGAATACAATAGCATTCTCTTCCACTCAAGTGTTGCAGAGGAAACATTCATAGAAGGAAAATAGATGTATATGTGTAGACTCTTTTCCCTTTTTTATAATGCAGGCCCTCCACTAAATTGTATTGGCTTATAATTATATGAAGATGGCATAAATGCCAGGGGACAACAAGGTGATGAAACTCTTCAAATTATATTAGGCCAAACAGCTGGCATTCCTTTAATTGTTGTTTGTGCAGTTTAAGCTAAATATTAATCAGAATGTTGCGGCCAATAAAAAGATGTGAGTTGATCTATTTATTTATGAAAAGTAGTCTGTTTTTCCTTGCTTACTGCTGTGAGGAAAGCGGCCTTTATTGGAGATATCACCCATCGTCTGCTTTTCAATCGCAGCTGTGAATTTAAAAAACCATTTTAATGACAGTTTTGAGAAATTTTGACTCCTATTTATGCTCACTATTAAAATGTGTAAAGGCATGGTATTTTTCAAATAAAGAGCTGTGAAATCATCATTTTTCATAGCTGTGATTGCTACTAATATTTATATTAGAACTAGAACTTTTGCCCTCTTGATTTTTCTATATGACAAAACTCCATCGCATTGAAAATAGCTTCCCATGCTGTTTCTTTAGAAAACCAAGTTAAACTTTACCTCACCACGTAGAATGAATGGCATACTGTAATTGTTTGGAATCCAGATTACTTTTAAAATATTGTTCTCAGCAGAATATACTTTCAATTATTTTATTCTTTTCAATTGCAGGTGGCGTCACTTTTTGGTATATATATTTTAGGATTCATTGATCCATGCAAACTACAGAAGATACTTCTTGCACATATGGTAATGCTTAGTATACATTTTGTTTAGAGTTAAATCTAAAAATATATGTTTAATAATGTACCAAATGAATTTAAAGTTGGTTGGTTTTGAAAAATTTATATCATTCTTTTTAGCTAAACACAATCCTCAAGGTGACCTATAACAGCATATGATGATCTATTTTATTGTAACTTAACAAACACACATTACAGTTATGTAACACGGAGGAATTTTTGGACACAGGATGCTGTTGGTGTGGGAATTTTTTGAGAACTCACAAAGTTTACTCAGTTCTTTCTGGTAATTTAGTAGCCCCCATTAAAGTATTATAATACTGTTGCTTCCAGTTTTCTTCCTAAAACAAGTCTTGATTATCTGTACATTTTGTCAAATTATAATTTGTATTTTTAAGGTGTTTTTTAAAGGTTTATATTTATAATTAATCTGTAAGGGTGTGGTCTTTGATCAAGAATGAGGATAGTTGACTATATTCTTCATAGTCTCTGTGACTCACACAAATGGGTTATGTTGTGGCTGTGCAGGGCCTCATTTGTAACATTCTAGAGCTTTACATAAGCGTTTTGACAGTAACCTCGTCCACTTCCTACATCACAACAGCTCCTTAAAAAGAATTTGGAGGTACAGTTGTATTCTATTATGTCTTTTCAGTATTTTGACTCAGAATTGTTTCTTGACTGATTTCTCTTGCGTTTCGGTAATAGTTGGACTTTGGATTGGCTTTGGACTGCTTTGATTATTCCTCTGTCATGTTGCAGTGGATCAGTAACACCATGATAATGGCCTCTATGGCTTTCTTTAAGAAATATTTAAAGTGTAAGATCTCTGAGAGAAATGCCTATTCTAAATGCCTTCTCTGTTATGATGAAGTGCATGTTGTCTAATTGTGCTGTCACTCTTGGGTCTTTATTCTATGTACCAGGAAAAATTGAGAAGTAAGACTTAAAGCTCTCCTGTATGCAGACGCCCTAAGAACTGCTGCAATGCTGTGTAAGCAGGTCAAGGATCTTGTTCAATCTCTGTTATCAATGTTGTGTCCTTAAGTACCATCTCAAGCCTGTTCAGTAGTTGTTCTGACTCTATTGATTTATTTGACTATGAAATGTTCTTTCAAAGATTCAACCAACTGTGCACCTTCATGGGCATCCATCAAAAGTTTTTATGGGAGAAAGTGTCACCTTACTTTAAAGAGTAGTGCTTTTGCTTAAGCAAGAAGCTTGCAGTGTTGTAGGACATCAACTTCAATTCTCAAAGCATACTGCACTGGGAAAGTTGTTATAAGTAATGTTGCCATATACTGATGTGCTTGGCTGTGGGGTTTTCAACAAATGCTATAATTAAAAACTTACCTTTCAATGAGCTAGGTCTCTTTTGTACAGATACTGATTCATGACAAGCATGCACATAAAATGGGAACAGTGAAGAGATAGGAAATTCCTCTGGTCTCTATAAGCAATTCAAAATATAAGTATTTTGATCAAACTAATATTAGGTATGACCGGATGGAAAACAATGTTTCTGCTACCCTAGCTACACATCCCCATATGCCACCACCTCATGCACCACTATTCAAAGACAAGCTTCAACAATTTTATCATGTTTGGAACACCATTATCTTGGACAAGTAGGTCCACGATATTGTCAAAAGGAAAGACTCCATACAGTTCTGGGACACTCTCTGTAGGATTTTATCGATCTTGCCCTCCTCCCATTTTAGAAGAAGAGGTGAAGTCCCCTACACGCAAGGATGGCAGTGAGCCTGTCCCACTCTCATCTGCATCTCATCTGCTTTTTCTCCTGCTACTTCATTGATTCCAAGAAGGACACACCTCACACCTTGTTCTTCCCTCAGCAATTATGTGTCAGAGGAGAAAAACATTATAGCAAACTGCATTGGGAACCTGTAGCATCCTATGACTGGAAACTGCCATCAGACACTCTCCACAGCATCTTTGTGATTTGGAGTATCCAGTCAGTGGACTTCTTTGCCTCTCCCTGGAACAGAGCCATGCAAGATCTTCTCCAGAACCTCTAGGAAGGCGGTCTCTCTTGTAGATGCATTTTTGTTCAATTGGAGAGGTTCTATCATATATGCTTTCCCTCCATTTCTTCTTACCACTGGGACACTGGTCAAGATTCAAGAGGACAAGGTCAAGTGCATATTATTCACATATTGGTGGCTCAGGCAGCCATAGTTCACCACACCTCTGTTTTCTCAATGGTAGTTTCACAGATTTCATCTGCACCCAGAAATGCAGATTCTACAACAGCAAGGCTGAGCATCTAAAGACCTACACACAATGGCTTGGAATTTTTTTCCTATAATTGTTTAATCAAATTCAGTTAAGCAAATCTTTGTAGTGGCCCAGAAGCCATCTAGAAGAGCCTGATTCTACAAATGATCAAAATTTTATGACTTCCTGCATTTCAAGGGAATCATGTAATGAGATACACCTATTGCCTGCATTATGGAATTTTAAAGTTACTTTATATCCCAGAGATTTGTCACTATCCTCTCTCAGGTGGTTTCTTGCAGCTATTTTGGCACTTTTGATGCATTGTTAAATGTTCATGTTTTTCTGATCCACTGGCAAATATTTTCTTGCATGATTATAAGAATCTTCACCTTCCTGTTGCTTGTCCACTTCCACAGTGGAGTCTTGACCTGCTCTTTTATTTATTTATCAAAGAAACAATTTGAACACATGTCTTCTTGTGTCCTCAGATTACTCTTTTGGAAAGCCACCTTCCTAGTCACCTCAACTAGAAGCAGGACTAACATATCCTTCTTGTTTAAATTTGCATCTGCTTTTCATTTTAATCAGGACATTGCTTTTCCATCCATCTTCCAGAATCTGACCACTACATTGCTTAGATATTAAGGACCTTTTATTTCCACTATACATCTGGATCTCGGGAATCTCCAAGACACTTTTGGTGCTACTTGTCTACAAGGAAGGGGGTTCTAGTTTCGAATCAGAGACTTTCAAAGTGGATTGCCTCAACTATTTGCCTATTTTTATTAACTAGGAGGCAAATAGTCTTCTGCTCATGTCAGAAGTCACTCCACCAAAGTGGTGGTGCAACAACCACATTTCTGAGAGACATCCCTCTGCATGATATATGCTGAACTGCCACATGGTCTAGTCCTCTGACTTTTATTTCATGCTACAGGTCGACCTCCAGATCGCAGCTAGAGGCTGTGTTTGAGAGGGCTGTGCTCTTCTTCTGTGTGATATATTTTCCTCCTCCTCCTATGGTTAGTAATTTGCTAGTCTCCTCTTTATGTGAGTCACAGAGAGGGTGAATAAGGAGGACAGGTTGCTTACCTGTAACTAACTTCTCAGGTGGTCATCTGTGAACTCGAACACCCTATCTTTCCTTCCCTCTTTGTGCCATGCCTTTCCTTGGCTCCTTGGGCTGCTGCTTTCAGTGTCCAGGGAGCTGAGTGTTTAGATGGGAAGTGCTTTGATGGGGAGCATGCAGAGTGGATGAGGCTACTGCCAAAATGAATATGTAAAGCTCTGAATGATGTACTGCTGAAGTGCAGTATAACCCATTTGTGTGAATTCACAGATTACCACTTGAAAACTACAGTTAAGCGCAAGTTATCTCTCCTTGGCTATTTTAACTGTAGTTTTGAACTATTTTAATGAGTCTGTTTCGAAATGGTTTTGCATGTATATTTAATATTTTAAATATTTTATCCATTGTACATTGGTTAGTTTAGGCTTTAGTAGGCTTTTTAAATCAGACATGAATTCTAGTATTATTATCACTGAACTCAAAAGTCCTTCTGTTTAGATATCAGTGCAGTTACAGTGTGACAGTACAATCTACATAGGACAATGTCATAACAGTGAAAGCCCTTTCAGAAATCAGATTCATTAAGTTCAATTTTACTTCTAGAAAGGCAAATACAGGATTATATCCCAAGCCTGCTGCATGAAACTATTTAAAATAAGTTTTGTTGTCAGACAGGTTAGTGTTAAATATAACAGAAAGTAAGATATGGGAAAAGATAATTACTGTGGTACATTTAAAATTATGCAGTACTCTTTTTAAAGATCTTCTGATGGGTTTTGGTTAAAAACTGTACTAAGAAGCTAGAATATTTGATGATGATGAGTATTTAGAGATGGAATAATGTTATCTCAAAAGCACTATCTGTGTTATAGTGTTCATCATATCCTGGGCCTTACAGACACTCTATAGGCTGTGACACTTCCACTGTTATATTGGTGATTGCATTAAAATCTGTTTGTTTATTTACACCCTTTAGGCATCACTTGCAGTATGTTTTGTCCTTATGTTTGGAAACTCTATGTTGTTGACATCCTATTACGCTGCCTCTTTGGTAGTTTGTTGGGTAAGTTAGTAATGGAGTATTTTTTTGTTTTATTTTCCTAAATGCCTGCAATAATTCCCGAGGTGCCAAAACAATATACATCACTATTCAACTTTTCAAGGCAAAGACCTCCTCAAGTGACTTACTCAGATAATTGGTTGCATTGATAGTTAGATCATTGTTTTATGAATGGTTGATGTATGAATTGTGATGATTATGCTTGTAGTAGGAATATAAGCTTTACAATCCACTTGCAATGCTTCCACTCCCTGTCCTAGTATTCTTCTTTTATCCACCAATCTCTGGTTCAGTATAACTTTTCTATCTATTAGGCACTTTGATGTTCCATTGTTCTGAGGGTGAACAGAATTTGCTATTTGAATAGGTCATTCTATCATTGTTTATTTCCGAAGGCCTTCATAGCTCCAACAAGCGTATCAGTTTGTTTAATACATATAAGGTATACAATGTTGAATTCAGAAATCTCCTAACTTTGCTTATAGTAATGTGGATTACTGCTCCATGCTTCTAGAATACCGTACAGGAAAACATTGCATGACTGTTGTTGAATTAAAAGGATTAATATAACACTTTCATTATTTTAGGGTATTCTTGAAATCAGTCCCAATTACCTGAAAATACAAAGTGTTCCTCAGTGGGTAAGGACTGACATTTTACATTATAAATACCAATATATGTCTTTGGATGACTGAAACAAAAAAAAATACTGTAAGATAGATAATGAAGTATTAATGTGAAACCTTGCAAATATCTTTCCCCCAAGACATCTGGCCATGTTGACAGAAGTCTTCTTATATTCTACCCTGATTTGGGATGATAAAGTTAGATTGATCAGCTGCTGACTGATTATTTGTTTGAATTGCTATTTTAGGAGACTTGTAATGCTATTTTAAAGATTGGTTTAGTAATGGTTTATTTTAATTCTGTATTACAAGTAAAAACTAGAACAAATAGTATGCATACAGTATGACCACCAGATTGGTGGTATTGGTGTCCACAGTTTCATTTTTCCATGCACAGATGCCTCAGCACAGCTTGCAGGGTGGGGGTCAGTGGCTGAGTTCAGCTTGCCCTGTCTCTACTCCAGAATTATGTGGCTTTTCCCATTTCTGGGTGAATACCAGCAAGCAACAGCTATTGCCACACCTGCCTCTGTTTCCTGTCCACCACTGCCATTGCAATTGCCTGGGGACGAGGAGCTGCTTTGGTCTTTCATGGGCTCTTGCTCTGTTTGATAGTGTCATTATTTTTTTAAAAAACTTAAAAGATTTTTTGTCCCAATTCCTGAGAACACCAAATATGTGCAACCCCCCGCCCTCCCCACGTTTATAGAAGATGTGGGAAACATTTCTTGCAAAAAAACCCTGAGGGTTATGCTGGATGCCCTGGGAGCCTCAAAATGGTTTGTGGGTTCTACACATTCCCAAACGTTAAACTGCGTGTCATGGTTGAATACATGATCTGTAAGGGGGGGGGGGATGCTATAAACAAGATACTGGCGGTACTAGTGGCAGAATACAAAACGTTCATTCTCATCATTTTAATTTCCTGATCTGGAGCAGTGGGGATGAGGAGGTAGGTAGAATAGTAGTCACCAAATAAAGGCCAACTTCCCATTTACCCATCCTCTAACAATGGACATTTTGACAATGGCAAATTAATCTCAAATCTATATATATAAATTTGTTAGGGGCATCCAACGAGGAAACAAAACTCAAAAACCCCCCAACGAAACTTAACCAAAATTCCCATGCCCATAACACAACCCACAAGGTACAAACATATCTACTCAAAATGAAAAACAACACAACAACACACTCACAAAACGGCAAAACAACAAAACTCAAAAATCCCCCAACGAAACTTAACCAAAATTCCCATGCCCATAACACAACCCACAAGGTACAAACATATCTACTCAAAATGAAAAACAACACAACAACACACTCACAAAACGGCAAAACAACAAAACTCAAAAAAACCCTAACGAAACTTAACCAAAATTCCCATGCCCATAACAGAACCCACAAGGTACAAACATATCTACTCAAAATGAAAAACAACACAACAACACACTCACAAAACGGCAAAACAACAAAACTCAAAAAACCAACGAAACTTAACCAAAATTCCCATGCCCATAACACAACCCACAAGGTACAAACATATCTCCTCAAAATGAAAAACAACACAACAACACACTCAAAACGGCAAAACAACAAAACTCAAAAAACCCCAACGAAAACTTAACCAAAATTCCCATGCCCATAACACAACCCACAAGGTACAAACATATCTACTCAAAATGAAAAACAACACAACAACACACTCACAAAACGGCAAAACAACTGAGCATGCGCATTGGCGCCCAGCCGCAAGTTCCCTGGCACGCGCACATGCCCTTCCGGCCAACGTTCCCTCTGCGGAAACCATGCCCACTCCAAGCCCCGCCGCGCCGCTTCCCGCACACACACACACCCCTGCCGCACATACACACACAACCCCACACTCCATCACTCCCCCCGCCGCCGCACACACACACGCAACCCCACACTCCATCACTTCCCCCGCTGCCGCACGCACACACGCAACCCCACTCCCCCCGCCGCCGCACACACACACGCAACCCCACGCTCCATCACTCCCCCGCCGCCGCACGCACACACGCAACCCCACTCCCCCCGCCGCCGCACACACACACAACCCCACGCTCCATCACTCCCCCCGCCGCCGCACACACACGCAACCCCACGCTCCATCACTCCCCCCGCGCACACACACACACAACCCCACGCTCCATCACTCCCCCACCCCAATCTTACCTCCTTTTACTTCACGCCACCTCCAAACCCCACCCCGCCCCTTCCCGCCCTGTCAAAATCTAGGAAAGACAGGAAGGAAGGAAAGAAGGAAGAAAGAGAAAGGGAGGTAAAGAAAAGGGGGAAGGAAGGAAAGTTAGAGAAAGAAGGAAGAAGAAAAGGAAAGAAAAGGAAAGATGGAAGGAAAGAAAAGAGAGACAGCAGAAAAGAAAGAAAAAGGGGGAAGGAAGGAAAGAGATAGAGAAAGAAGAGGAGAAGGAAAGATGGGAGGGAAGGAAGGAAGGAAGGAAGGAGGGAAAGAAGGAGAGAAAGAGGGAAGATTGGCCACAGCAACACGTGGCGGGTAAAGGTTGTTATTTCTATTATTATTATTATTATTATTATTATTATTATTATTATTATTATTATGCTATTGTTCCTATGAGACCCTGGAGGAATGGGAGAGGTGTCAGGTCCCAGAGGCAATGCATTGCATTATTGTTATTGTTATGATGGTGGTAAAATAAAAGGAAATAAAAAGTGAAAGAAGGAAGCAAACAGGGAGGGAAGAAAGGCAAAGGAAGAAAGGGGGAGGGAATGAAGGAAAGAGAGAAGGATGAAACCAAGTAGTGAAAGAAAGAAAGAGGTAGAGAAGAAAGAAAGGAGAGAAAGGGGGAGGAAAAGGGGGAAGGAATAGGTAGGGACCTCTCTTTCATAATAGTCCAGATATCTACCTCAACTTTGATAAGTTTTACTATAGGCCACAGCAACGCGTGGCAGGGCACAGCTAGTGTTTTATATAAACCTTCAACACTATGTGGTTATCCTACAGTCAGATGTCTCTTCCACTCAATACTGAGTGCTGTTGCTCTGTTCCATCTAACAATGTTCATTTTATAGGCAATTGAAGCCATTATTTGCCTCTTTGGGACAATTGTCCTGAAGTTCTTGATGTGTCTAATATTTGGAATAACTGATGATGTAAGTAGCAAGTTCATTGTAACATGTTGTTAGCTTTCTACATCATGTAACTGTTTCATTTTATTTCAAAGGTACAGAAGGTACAGAAACAAGTTGGGAAACAGACTGTCTTCATTCTTATCATGCAACCTTTATGTATCATTTGTATAAGATATATTTCTATTACATTTTGGTCATTACAAATTTATCCTTATGAGTTCTGTCTGAAAATTAACTTTAAGCCAGTGAAAACTTTTGAAAATTGATCACTGCAAATTTCAGCAAATAGTCTGGCAGTTGTTTTTGGATTCAGTTGAAATTTTTGAATACCTTTTAAGGTATTCAAGCCTTCATTTTATTCAGCCATAAATAGTTGCTCACATAGCAACCAAAACTGGAGAAAGCTAGCGCTACCCGAGTTTGCTCTAGAAAATAGCAGCCTTTAATGTCCAGAGCAGGTCAAATGCTACCTTTTCAGTGCAGTGACCACAAGTTTGAAGAATAACTGTGTTGTCTTCCTTCATTTTACTGTTATCCCCATCTTTTTCTTGTCAGTCCAACATGGCGAAATACACCGCAAAAGCATAATATGTTATGTCTTCATAGAACATGGATTTCTGAGCATATAGTTTGAGATCAGTTAGTTCAATCATCATTATGGAGTTTATGGCTTCCATTGGGTATATCATAAATCATGTTAACAGGAAAATGTAACCTATCCGTCATCCATAGCTTGGTGTTTCTCGTACTGCATGTAAATTGCCCTGTTATTTAAAATTAACTGCCATCCTTAGTCCAAAATGCTTGTGTTACTTTTTTTCTTAGCAATGCATTGTTTTAGTTCATATAACACAATCCATAATTGTATACCTTTTTAAATAAAATGTCAAATGAAATGGCTGACCACATTTTCAATGTAATTTCTTACCAGGCTCATATAAGCAACCTGTTAAAGGCAAAACTTATTGGTTATAGAGATTTTGATACCTTAATGTACACCTGTGCTGCAGAGTTTGATTTCATGGAAAAAGAGGTAATTATCACCCACTGACAATGTTATGGTTTGGATTATTGAAAAAACCTCTGAACTGTTTTATGTAAGAGACCATATATCAGGGGCCCTCAAACTTTTTAAGCAGGAGGCCGATTTATGGCCCTCCAGACTGTTGGGGACCTGGACTATTCTTTGAAAAAATGAATAAATTCCTATGCACACTGCACATCTTATTTGCAGTGCAAGAAATGAAAGGACAATACAATATTTAAAATGAAGAACAATTTTAACCAATATAAACTTACCAGTATTTCAATGGCCAATGAGATAGTCAAGTTAATTAGGATTGTTGCTGTTTTGGGCCTTCAAGTTGTTTCAGACTTAGTGCAACCCTAAGTCTACAGTTTAGGGCAGGAGGTGGGTAAATGACCTTGAAGGGCTGCATCCGGTCCACAGGCCTTAGTTTGGGGACCTTTGCCATATATTAAGAACTTGTCTGAAATACTGGGAGATATCATTGAGATTTAGTAATACAACACTAAATAGAAATAGGAACATGAAAACAAATTGTAATATAGGTTAACCTTTTGAGTTTGCTTTTTTCTATTGATGATGGCTTGTGAGATGATGCAAGTCAAACATAATGATACATTTTGGCAAGTCTTCGCGACATCAGTCCTCAACATCAGTCCTCTTGGCTAGATCAACCGACATATTTTGATATAGCAGTGTTTTATTTCCACAGAAGAAAACTATGTACTTGTATTGCAAAGTTTCTGTGTATATAATTTGCTACCTTTCAATTTGCATTTCAGACTCCAATAAGATACATGAAGACCCTGCTTCTCCCGGTTGTCCTGGTTGTTTTTTTAGCAATCGTTGCAAAGGTACACCATTACTGGTTTTATTTTAAAGCTGGTTTACATTTTATATGCAGCGTGTGTGTAAAAAAGTTATAGCACATTGAATAAGCTTCCAGTTCAATCCATGCCACAGATGGCCCCTAAGATAAGCCTCTGTGGCACCAATGAGCTATAAGACTTATTCGAGCAGAAATGACAGCAGATTGCAGTAAAGGAAAGTACTCCACTAGCCAGCTGACGCTATAACCACAGCTAGTTCAGTCTCATTTAAAAGTATTTTTTCAAGGCTAAGAGTGCTACCTAGTTGAATCAACGATGATGATGATGATGATAAACTTCATTTATACCCCCCACCATCTCCCCAAAGGGGACTCGGAGTGGCTTACATGGGCCAAGCTCGAACAATCAGATATTATCTCAGGAAACATGGTCACCAGTCATATAATTAGAGCCGTGACTATCAGGTCTTTTACCACTCTCTGATCAGGTGTTCTCAAAAGCAACAATGGATTGGTTCAGCTTGTTCCTTCTATCACGCTTGTACAATTAGTTTACAGTGAATAGGATATGTGTGCTTATCTTAAGTTTTTTACATTCCATTAAGGGATACTGTTGCAAGAACTGCTGTAGTTTCCTTTTTGCACTGGTTCCAGTTTAAAAATACAATAGACATGGTGCAGAGGGCCCATCAAACCTGACAGTACATCTGTTCACATGACGTTAAATGCCACCTCTCCTATTTTTGTGTCTCACGTACAATTGTTTAAAAAAGAGTACTGTTGGGGGGAAAGTGTAAACATACCAAAGTATGTAATTGAAGACATGTTAGATATTTCATTTGTATGTTTGCATTTACACCAATACTGTTTTGGTGTACACCACATTTAGTAGGTGTTGAATTCGGCACTATGCATATCTAAGTACTTTTTAAACTTAAGTGCACAATTTAGAATAGTTTGGATGAAATATAGCATTTCAGAAAGAGAAGACAAATTGCACAGTGGATCCTTTTTACTTCCACTTGAAGTCCTCCATCACCCAAGTAGTCTGTTTAGAGTGACTGTCAGGGTCAACAGAGAAAATGTACTAAAGATTGTGAGGCTGAAATAGCTATGGACAAACAGAATATTGTTTATTCCAATACAAAAGTCTAATTTAAGACCCGCCGTACATTTTTGTCCATGCCTACTACAAAATAAATCCCACAGAGTTCCTTGGAGTTTGCTTCAATCTAGTTGAGTTTATGATTACAGGCTGAATGGTTGAAGTGTATATGTGTAAAGAAAAAACGGTTGTTTTCTAATCTTTTGTATTTCAGTGCATTCCGTTTCAGAAGAAAGTCTCTGAAAGGTAAATATATGATGAGTGTAATGGACTACTACATAAAATACTATCAATATGTTGTGTAGCCTTTGCTTTATAGAATTGCTTTATTTTGCATGTCATGTAAGAAAGTGAATCACTGTATAGCTCTACGCTTTACACTAGAGAGTATTACATAGGTCCAATGTGTCAAGTCCCTTGTAGAAATGATCATTTATCCTCTTATACTGCAGAATGTGTTACAAGTTTAGAGCAACTTGTGGCCAATGAAAAAAATCTTAGAATTCTTTTGGCTTGCAACCAAGTCTTTCCAAATTAAACAAATCCTGTGCTTTTGTTTGAAACTTTCAGGCACATTAACAGAACAGATACTCTGAAATGATGCAGCTATTCATCAGACACAACAAAAACTTACAGTTAATGTGTGCTAACAACAATTTTTACACATTTTGTGGTGCTGTGTTTTAACACTGCTATACTGCTACATGAACCGTGATGAGAATTGGGTCTAAATAAAATGTGCTGCTGTTGTTGTTATCGTTGTTAATAAAAATCCATATTTTTGGTTCAAAACTTGCGCTTTACTTATACATTCAGTTGACTTTTACATGAGTTTATACAGTGTTTAGAATTATGGTGTGGATGGTAAGTGTGGCTTTCTGTCAGTCCTGGTTGGTTTCAGTGCCATTGGATGGTCAAGCATCCTTCGGTCACCGCAGCATCCATGGTCTGTCATTTGCAACCTAGGATGAAGGATGCATGCCCTCAGTTCATAAAATAAATATGATGGCCATACTCTCTCTTTAGCTTTGTAATTCTTGTGGAATTCAGATGGGACAACAATTTTAATTCAGATTGTGTTAAACAGAGAATATTTAACTGGTAGAGGGAATATTGATCAATATAGTATTTAATTTTCATATTTGATTTTTTTCACCTATTCTTAGAAATGAGGATCTTTTTAATCATGGAGAGGTAAGAATTCTATCCTTTAAGTGTAAAATATTTTCTTTGTTTTTTTAAAAATAATAATAATATAAGACCCTTAGGACTTCTTGCCTGATAGCATTATATGACTGAAAATTCCTCATTAGATGTGATTGGAAATGTGCCTTTAAATATTTTGTAGTGCTCGTGAAAAATGTTCATAATAATATTTCTAGTATCACAAATATATTACTGAGGAAGATGTTTCATGACAGAGTTTAGGCTTCAAAATGTTGTTCCTGCTTGCCAAAAGTTAAGGTTAAACATGAAGTCAGACTCTCTTAAATCAGTGATTCCCAACCTTTTTTTGACCAGGGACCATTTTGATATTTTTTTTGTTAGCTGGGACCACAAGTTTCAAGAATAATAAAGGGTGTTAATCTAAAAATAAACTTCAATCAAAACTTTAAACATATTCATTAAACTTAATAGTAACATGAATTAAGAGTACCATTATAATAGAAAAAGAACATTTTAATAGAAAATTAAATTTGGTTTGCATCAATGTGATTTTTGAGATTGCATCTTCTTTACAAGTTGGTAATCCTGGGGTTAATATTATTGCTCAAAGCTACACAAAAATCATCACTTACTTTCAGTCGATTCCTGGACTTGTATTTGATTATCAGGCTATAGCACAGCTGGTAAATCAGCATCAGCAGCAATAAGATCTACCAACCTAAAAGTTGTCTGTTCAAAGCCCCGGTCAGAGTGAGCGCCTGACTGACAGCCCAGCTCACTGTTTACCTAAGCAGTTCGAAAACCGCCTAGAGCTGTAGGTAGAGAAATTAGGTACCACTAAAAAGCAGGGGAAGTATTTTATGACACCATAAAAGTAAAAGACCACACACACAATATGTTAACTATATGTTAGAATTTTAATTGTTTCACAGAACAAACTTGAGTTCTTGGGACCACTGTTGGTCTCCGGATCATTGTTTTGGAACCACTGTCTTAAATGGTGCTCAGATGCATCATGGAAGCTTAGGTTTTGTTTTTCCCCCACTTCCAACCAAAGGCAGTTCAATCTTTTAGAGTACAGTAAAATATTGGAATTACAATAGGAATTCATACAATCCAGTCTCTTCCATTTCTGTCAGTTCTATGGAGGCATGTTCTTGTTTCTTATTGGTCTTACATCCATGAATAGTTTGGGGATTAAATATTTAAAAAATACGGATTTTTTCCATATAGAAAATTTGAAGTAAAATAATAAACATTGTTGTGTGTTGTTTTTAAGTCAGCTCTTTTAAGTAATTATTTTCTTATATCTCTTTCCTTGTTTGCAGATAGTATACCATGCACTGCAGCTTATTTTTTTTACTACTCTTGCTATTTTAATTATGAGACTGAAGTTGTTTCTAACACCACATATGTGCATCATGGTATCCTTGATATGTTCAAAGAAAGTAAGTTCGTTTTTATCACACTACTTAATGTAATGATAACATTTGCATATTTTACAAAGAAACTACTAAAATCATCTTGGCATGACAATATATTTAGTTGTATTTGGTTACAAAATTCCTGTTCCCTCACTCCTGTTCTTAATTGTGTCATTTGTAAGTTGGATGTTTGTAACACAGGGACTGTCTTTAGTTATTTCAATGTACAGTATATATAATTTAATATTTCTTGTTTGGTTTAATGCTGGTTGAATTAGAGGTGTTTTACTTTCTAATTTTTATGGCATCACATTTATTGGGTTTTATTATTGGTTGCTTCTACATTCATGCTGTCAATTTTGGAATCCATCTCAGTTGGAAAATTATTTAATTTTAACTGTAGAAAATATAATGATGCATACATTACACTTATATTAAGATATTGTGAATGAAGTACCTCCATTCTTAGCACCTAACAGGGAATAAACAAACAGAATGTAGACATGGATTCCGCTTCCAGCTGCACTGCTTGCCAGTGCATTTCTGGGACTGGCTTAAAATGGTGGTGATTACTTTTAAAGCCCTAAAATGCTTTTGACTACAGATTATTTAATGGAGATTTTCAATTCGTAGGAAACTGTTCATGCCCTAAACTCATCCATGCCCTAAATCCATCCTCGAAGTAAGATTTTTTTAGATAGGCCTGTATAAAAGATGGTCTTCTGTATGGTGGCCTCATCCTTATGGAATAACATTGTCTGATATGTGTAGATAGTAGGGCTGTGCAATGAAGTCGTTCGTGCCTCGTATGTCGTATTATTTCATAACATTTCTATACGAAGAGAAATTAAGAAATGCCGGAGGGAGGGGGCATGCAAAAACTGAAGAATCATAACACCCAATACTTTTCGTTTGAAATCTCGAAGCCTCGAAAGTATCCCAAAGTCATTTTTAGTGCAAGCGAGCCAAAGCCAAAGAAGCCGCCATTCCTCTTTAAATTAAGAAGAGACAGGATTCCTATAGCCATGAGAGCAAGCAGCGGGACCAGAGGAGCTGAGAGAGTTAGGAAGAATATTGAGAGAGCACAGATTTCTGGGAAATGTAGCTCGGAAAGGTGGAAACCCCTGTGGCAGAGAATTCAAAAGGCTCTTACCTAAACTACATTTCCTAGAATTCTTAGCATCAGAAAGCCAGTGAGAATGGGGGAGAGCTATTGTCCTTCCGTAGCAGCAGCAGCCAGCCATGCAGTTTAGAATTCTGCAAAGAAGACTGATATATGTGCTGGACTGGGAGGAAATCCCTAAGTTGAAGTTCTATGGTTTTGTTGAGTTGTGTGTCATACATTCAAGGGGATAGCTGTTGTGGCTTTTTTAAAAAAGTTTTTTTGTCAAAACTTTAAAACATTCCCAAAAATCAGTAGATGTGCAAATCTTTCTGAAACTTGGGGGTAATGCTCCCCTGTTATCTTGTGTCAATGTAAGACGAACTGAACCTAGGACCTAAACTGGGCTCTACAGGCCAATGGATACTCCACCTGGGACATCAGAAGAGCTGCAAGACTGTGAACAAGCCACGAGAGTAAAGACGAAGATCCACCCAGAGGAAAAGTGTTTTTGCCATACATCAAGGGAACCACTGACCGCATAGGGAAGCTGATGAGGAAACACCATATAGAAACCATCTACAGGCCCACCAAGAAAATCCAACAAAAGCTACATTCAGCAAAGGACAAGAGGGATCCTCTCACCTCTGCAAGAGTCTACCGTATACCATGCAGCTGTGGACAAGTCTACATAGGGACCACCAAAAGCAGTGCCCAAACACGAATCAAGGAACATGAAAGGCACTGCAGACTACTTCAACCAGAGAAGTCAGCCATAGCAGAGCACCTGATGAACCAACCTGGACACAGCATATTATTTGAGAACACAGAAATGCTGGACCACTCTCACAACCACCATGTCAGACTACACAGAGAAGCCATTGAAATCCACAAGCCATGTGGACAATTTCAACAGAAAGGAGGAAACCATGAAAATGAACAAAATCTGGCTACCAATATTAAAAAAAATCTAAAATTACAATAGCAAAACAGCAGAGAGTAAACAATCAGGCACATCTAATCACCTCTCAACAAAAGATTCCCCCAGGCACTGCCAAGCCATCAAATGCTAATCAAGGTGGTCAGTTGAAACATTCACACCTAGCTCCAACAGTCAAGAGTTCTTTGTCCCACCCTGGTCATTCCACAGATATATAAACCCATTTTCCTAGTTCCAACAGACCTCACTACCTCTGAGGATGCTTACCATAGATGCAGGCGAAACGTCAGGAAAAAATGCCTCTAGAACAAGGCCATATAGCCCAGAAAAACCTACAACAACCCAATTATTTTCTTTGTTTGCACAAGCCTAATAGATAGTCTCCTCCCTGACTTTGAAAGGGATTACACATCTCGTTGGTTTATATTCTTATCTGAATATTCTCTTAACTTGTATCTATGGTTGTTTTAAATGTTTTATACCTTTGTTTCATTGTTTAATTTTTATTTTATACTAGCCGTCCCCTGCCACACGGTGCTGTGGCCCAGTCTGTTGATCTGGAAAATAAAGTAATGGTTTCTAATCTATGTAATTTCTTTATGCTTGTGGGTAAACAGTATTTCTTGTTGTCTCTTTGTCAGTGTTAATGTGGAGATTGTCTGGTTTGCCTACTCTGGAATATGCAATATATCATTGTCCTTCTTTAGGGGTCCCTTTCAAATCTATGATATTATATCTGTGTGTGCATGAATCATATATATCTATCTATATCTATGGCTGGATGGCTCTTTGTCAGGAGGGCTTTGATTAGATTTTCTTGCCCTGGTGAAGAGAGTTGGACTGGATGGCCTTAAGTATTTTCTGTTGGTGATGGGGTTCAGCGTGGGAAATTTGCTCCAATTTTGTCATTCAGAATGCTCTTTGATTGTAAGTGAACTATAAATCCCAGTCACTACAACTTGCAAATGTCAAGGTCTATTTCCCCAAACTCTGTCTGTGTTGATATTTGGGCATAGGGAATATTTGTGCCAAGTTTGGTCCAGATCCATCATTGTTTGAGTCCACAGTGGTCTCTGGATGTAGGTGATCTACAACTCCCAAACTCAAGGTCAATGCCCACCAAACCCTTCTAGTCTTTTCTGTTGGTCATGGGAGTCCTGTGTGTCACCTTTGGTTCAATTCCATCATTGGTGGAGTTCAGAATGCTCTTTGATTGTAGGTGAACTATAAATCCCAGGAACTACAACTCCCAAATGACGAAATCAAAAATTTTTGAGTGAAGGACATATATTGGATTGTTAGGTGTGTGCTGTCCAAATTTGGTGCCAATTCGCCCACTGGTTTTTGAGTTCTGTTAAACGAACATTACATTTTTATTTATATAGATATCTCTCTGGGGAGACTTTGCTCTGAAAGGCAGTATACAGGCAGTCCCCAAGTTACAAACATCCAACTAACATACACTCCTAGTTATAAATGGGGGTGATACTACAGGAACTGATAGGAAATCTGCCCCTAGTAAGGGAAATGCACTCCTTTACCAACTATGGAAAAAAGGTGTCTCCACTGAAGCTTTATCACCAATTCCTGTTTCCACAGCAACCCAAAATTTTCAAAACTCAATTGTCACAGGGACAGAAAATGAGGCGAATTCATCTGAACAGAGGCATGCATAGAAAAACAAATGTTAGAGTATTAGTCCTTCTCTATGCTATCCAGAACTTTAAAAAATGGCAGGAGTTACATTTAAAAAGTGTACCTGCTCCGACTTACATACAAGTTCAACTTAAGAACAAACCTACAGAACCTATCTTGTTCATAATCCAGAGTCTGCCTGAATATTAAATAAATAAAATACGTACAGTTAGATTTAGTGGAAAATGTATAACAAAGTTTAAAATGTCACAAGAAATGATATGTATGAATTCTTGAAATATCAACATTATTATATAGTAATAGATTAAATAAGTGCATTTTCATTTGTTGCACAGCTGTTTGGGTGCGTGTTTTGCATGATCCAGCCTAGAACACTTGCTTTGGCAATTTTAGCAATGATGGCATATGAAGGAATAGCAAACCTTCAGAAACAATGGAGCATTGTTGGAGAATTTAGCAACCTACCTCAGGAACAACTGTTGTTATGGATCAAAGCAAACACTAAACAAGGTAAAAGAAAAAGAGCATTCTTTGCAGTGTCTGTCATAACATATTCACTAGGTCTTATGTTCTGTACATCTTATATATTACAATATCAGACTATTCTAAAGAGTTTTTGCGCTGTATTTTACTACAGGTGTCATTTAAGAAAGGAAGTTTTAAAAATATGATCAGTGGTAATTGTAAATTGCTTTTAAAATACAAAAACTTGTGTACAGTAGAGGACTTGTGTATGTTTTCATGTGTGATTCGGACGCTAAAAGAGCAATTAAATATTTATAGATGCCTGCTGTATGTCTCGACAAAAACGAATGCAGTTGTATATTTTCCTGCAAAAGAGGAGTTATGAACCAAGTTTACAAGGAATTATTTTTATATATATTTTTGAGCTCTTTAGAAAATGAATGCCTTATAAATATTGTTATTCATATGTACTGACTATTTTCTGACTATTCCTATAGTTTGATATTTAAAATATATATTTCAGATGCTGTTTTTGCTGGTGTAATGCCTACAATGGCAAGTGTAAAACTGTCTACTCTTCGACCTATTGTGAATCACCCTCATTATGAAGATGCAGGTTTACGGTAAGGCTTTTAGTTTAATGTTCAGGATTGCCTATGTTTTACTGTATTGGGTAGGAATTTTAATTGCAGTTAACTTTAACATCTGATCTACATTCAGCATTTGACATAGAAGTACATGTACCAATCTTCTGTACACTGTAGGGAGAATCTATGCCTTTGCCTCTCAGAACTATGTTCTGTGGCATATCTGGTGGATTTCTGCATATTTTGTTATGTTTATATATTTTGTAATGATTCAATGAGCTACCATGAAAGGTTATTTGTTACAAGTTGGCTCATACTTAAAAGAAATCATATTCTTAAAAACGTATGACGTCGTATCTGCTTTCAATTTCAACCCAATCATTGCGTTTATTCACTTCACTTAGTTTATCAACTGTCTGGCAAGCAACCTCCTCAATCTTTGTTTTAGAACATTCTACTAAGGCGGTGTTGTTGTCTACTGCCACTTCAGCAATGTATTTGACATGTTGCACACCACCGTGTGGACTTCTAATCTTGAAGTGACAGTACTTTCAGGAGGGCAGTGTTATTTTCATGTGTGGCTGACACCCACCTCCTGAGGCTAGTAGTTTGCTTGTCATCCATTTGTGTGAATCACAGAGACCACAATTACCTTCACCTGTAGTTCTTTGAGTGGTCTCCTGTGAATACACATCACATCCACCCATTCTCCCCTCTTTGAGTTATGCCGTTCCTAGTGACATTGGCTATTCCTAGACAAGTGGAGTTTGGTGGCTACTGTGTGTATATACCATTGTGGAGAATGGGATGGATTACTGCCAGAATGTATCTATAGAGGTATAGAAGGTACCGAAGGTGCAATAACCTATTTGTGTGATTTCACATTTGACCACTCAAAGAAACAGTTGAGCTACTGGTCCATACAAGCTTTATCTCTTAGCAGTGATGGGGTGCTTTTTTTATTCTGTGAATGACAAATTGGATTTATCAGGAGAATACTTTCTGATCAACAGGTATAAAGAACATGTAAATTTAACCAGTAGTTTAAATGAGTTGGTAAGCGTTTCCCAATCTCTCACTTTATAAAATAATTGGCTGTCATTTTGGTTGTACAGTTCCAGTTACGAGTGCTAGTATGTCTGTTAGATTTCCTTCAGGTTTCACTGCATCATTTTTATCCTCTAGCAGTGGTTCTTAACCTGTTCATCCCCAGGTGTTTTGGCCGACAACTCCCAGAAATCCCAGCCAGTTTTCCAGCTGTTCGGATTTCTGGAAATTGAAGGCCTAAATATCTGGGGACCCACAGGTTGAGAACCACTGCTCTAGTGTATTTTAAACACATTTACCTCTTGCAAAGTCTGTTTTTATCTGTTTTACTGCAAAATATGTCTCAGAATAGCTTCACTCTCCTAGGTACAATAATCCTGCTTTTTGGTTGGTTGATTATATATGCATTTTCTCCCTCTTCAAAGGGCAAGAACAAAGATAGTTTATTCCATGTATAGTCGAAAACCAGCAAAAGACGTTAAAAGGGAATTGGTAAAGATGGGAGTGAATTACTACATTTTAGAAGAATCCTGGTGCCTAAAGAGACCTAAGTAAGTAATCAGTAAGAACTCGTGAAGTTTTCCCCAAATGATGGTAAAATGGAAGTGCTTTTTGTAGAAAAGTGAGCTAGGATACAACATGTTTTATTTTGTAAGTCTTCCCATAACTCTACTTACTGTTCCTAAAATTGAGAAACCATTGGGAAACTTCAGTGGGTTTGTCCACTTCAAAGAGTGTTAAGCATAGCCTTAATCATCTTAGTTGTGTTCAGGGTTTAATCATGCATTTCAAACAGTTCGTGCTGCTGGCTGAAAGTGATCTTTAAAATAATGAATAAAATTGGATTGCTGAGTTTGTAGCCATAGTCCCACATGATCATATGCTCTTCCTTTGCCCTTTATATTCTGACTATCCAGGAAATCTTGTTTGGACTTCCTAAATCCCTGAAGCTCTTACTGTACTTATTTTGGAATTTGATGCCCAGTTTTTGACTTGATATTATAATTATTGATAAACTTTAGTAAGCATTGGCCAATAAATTTAAATGTACTTATATAAATATGAAGAGAGAAATTCATGTCATTGACCTCCAGATTTGTTACATAATTATAACAATAGAAGATGCTAAATGCCCTCTCTTTAGCACATAAATCCAAATAGTCAGAGGCTCTCCTGAATAGGCAAGAGGAATTGCTCAAATTGGACTTAGATTGGAAGATAAAGGAAAGCTTCCTGGTCTCTCCTTCTCCTAACAATTTCTCCTGATGTCCCATCCCAGTTTGCTCCAGAGGAATCCCAGTCTCAGGAGAGGCTTTGGAGGATGGTCTGCAAGAATATGAAACAATGGAAAAACCTTCAACCTCTGAGCTTTTTAATGTTAACTCTTAGGGTCCAAACAATTTAAAATGGCTTTAATAAGGGAAACCATCAATTCTTCAGCCTTTGTTAGGCATTCATAGGTGGACCTATCCTGATAAATCCTATGTTTATCTGTTGGAAATTTGCCAACTCTGTATTTGGGAAAAGATATGATCTGATAAGTCTGTAAATTCCATATATGATTCAGGACTCTCGTTGGATAAAGTTGAAGAGAACCTGAATGGATACAGGATGATTTCTCCACTAGATGTTCCTAAGAATGCATAATCAACAAAGGATGTAATAGAGGATGAAGGCCCAGTAAATGCAGCACTCCTCTTCCTTTTTCATGATCACATGATCTGAATATTTGAAGAGAGTTTTCATTTCCTGTATGAATGTTATGCATTATCAGTTTATTCTTGCTGTACGTGTTTCTTCGCTGCAAACATTTAAATGTATTTATGTATGTATTTTAGGCCTGGCTGCAGCATGCCAGAAATTTGGGATGTAGAAGATTTCTCCAACATTGGAAAAGTTCCCTTATGCGATATTGTGGGCAAGAATTCCAGACCATACTTCAGGACAGTATTTGACAATGATGTATACAAAGTATTAGAAGTTAGCTTATAAATTGGATTGAGTTTATGTTATTTTATGTTTTACTTTGATTGTCTATTTGTTTTGGGGCATTGAATGTTTGCCATTTTGTTATTTTTGTAAACCGCCCTGAGTCCCTTCAGGGAGAGAGAGCGGATTATAAATAAAGTTATATTATTCGTAGTAGTAGTAGTAGTAGAAGACAGTGATTCTCCGGTGTGACAGATTCTCTAACAGGATGATTTTAAAACTTGCAACTGTTTAAAACATATCTCTGAATTCCAAATCCATTATAGTTAATTAAAATATTGATTTCAGCTTATAACATCATTAGATATTGGCAGCACTCCAGAGAACTGTGTACTGGGCGAGGGGGGAGGGTCATATTTTTAGATAAGTTTAGAACTAGGCCATATGTTTAAACCTTTATTTCTGTGTCAAAACTATTTCAACTAGCTTTGGACTCCACATTGTAGATGAAGTCTACTACTTAATAGGCTTGTGCATTTCAGGAGAATCACTATCAGTTTCTTCTTGCCAAAAAACGGAAGCTTCCCGTTTCTGTTTTCACACACCACCTGAAAACAGGCACACTCCCGAATGGGCATTTTTGTTCTGCATATGAAAAAACAAATATTTTCAACCCTTTAGCAGCAATGGGCGGGCTACCCAGGCTCCCTTTCACCTCAGTTTTAGGAATAAAGGGAAGAAAATCGCCACACTTTGAGAGCACATCTACCACTGTTAGCCCACCAAGTTTTATAACGTTTGGGTCATCCTCTGATTTTCTGGATATTTTTCTTTCTAGAAATAATAAAATCTCCTTTAAAACATTCCCTATCCCCCCACTCACCCCGCTCTCTAACTTTTCCATGAGCAGCAAAGGTGTGCCACACCACACAGCCCAGTACTCAGCTCCACTATTTCACTTACTTCTTTACTAATAAAAAAACCCAACATCAAGCCAATCAACTTCTTCCAAAGCTTTTGCAGTAGCAGCAAGCATTGTCCCCTTATTTAAAAAACACTGATCCACTGAGGGGAAAAAACTTTTTCAAAATGTATTGTGAAAAATGTAGCCATGATTGGGGGAAAAAACCATGTTTTTGGAGCATATTATTTCAAGTCTTAGCAGTTCAGAGCAGCTCATCATCATTAGTTTCACTGATTCAGGAAGGTGWGGCGGCAGTGGCAGGCCCAAAAAAGGGCAATAGAGGGCTCAGAGACAAGGGAGAAGGTCAGGGGCAGAGTGGTTGGCTGGCCACCCCGCTCCACAATGAGCTAATCAGCCCCCCAAAGGAGGAAAGGGTTTGGGAGGGGGGGAGTGGGGAGAAATTAGAATRTGCTAGGYCGCTAAAAYCAGGCGGCTAACTGCCCACCCCACATAAAGCCAAACAGTCTCCTAAATAAGAAAGGTGAGCYAGGCAGGCCACTCAACAACTTTTCTGTTGTTTGGTGCGCTGCTCCTACACCAAAATCCATACAACCTGAAAACTGAAGCTATAGAAGTTTAACAGCCGCTGCAAGCAACATGTGGGCGGTGCATCCGCTGTTGTATGAGGGGCCTGCAAGTGATGACAAACAGGCCACTCAACGACTTTGTCATTGTCTGATGAACTGCTACAGTTAAACGACATTCACTATGACTCAGAATATTTGTCGTCGAGTCACCTCATCCATGTGGAAGTCAACAACAGCAAAGCAGAAGCAGACAACGACTCCAAACTTGTCTGGAGAAGAATTAAACTTTTGCCAGGGACAATTTAGGGTGAGAAATGTTGGAAATGGAGGCCAAACCAGTGGGATGACACCATACCCATCTGTTCCTACAAATGAAGCTGGTATAGGGTAACTGCCAACCTTCTTTAAAAGAGTGACTCACTCTTTGAGAGAGCAGCCAATTGCAGCTGACCCTGCAGACAACAAGCGCCAAAGTATCATCGTCCCCTACGAAAGACCACAGACGGGGACCAACAACTCAATCAGTCTGGTGTGTGCGCGCTCTGCTGTGCATCCATCCTGGTTTTATGGTTAGGGTATATGAGGTAACTACTGGCCTTCTGTAAGAGAGTGATTGACATGAAAAGAAAGAAAGAAAGAAAGCACCGATGGTTGCCACCTGGGTGAAAGCTCACTCATTATTCGGAACGAAGGAATCTAGTGGTACTATAGGGTAAGTTCCAGTATTCTTTAGGAAAGTGACTGAGTCACTCTTTTAGACAGCAGTCAACTGCTGCTATCTTTCACCACTCTATCCCATGGACACCAAGTGCTACAGTGTCATCGTCCCCTATAAAAGACCACAGGCAGGGATCCACAACAGAACAGCCTGACAAATGAAGCTCAATGAATCCTCCATGGGATGCCCCCAAGGACTCATAGCCGAAACTGCAAGTAATTGGCAAAGTTGGTGGTTTTGTGGAAATCCTTCAAGCTTGTGTGGTTTTCTTTCCAGTGTAGGACTCGCTCACCACTGGTGGAACTCCTTTACTATTTGGCAAAAATTAGAGGTAGGGAAAGGGAAGGAGGATGAGCGATTATTTCAAAATCCTAATGGAGCCCTCCTGGGCTTCTGTGTGACACTGTGTGTGCCACACAGCCTTTGGAGCAGCTTGTTAAAACTTCCTTTTTATTAAAACATTGTGCCAAATATTAGAGAGAGAGAGAGAGAGATTGTTTGTAACAGCCATCACAGCCCGCTGTGTGACACGGATTTTGTTGAGCCAAATATTACAGAGAGGTTGCTTGATACAGAGTGAGAGTTGAGGTAGTTTATTTTGAGTTTGGGGAAGAGGGTTAGTGGTAGCTTGAGATAGATGTTGGTGTGTACCTTGGTGAACTTGGAGGGACGCTAGGAGAACTGGCATGGCCAATGGAGCGTAGCATGTCAGAGAGACCAGAAGCGCCAGTGAGAGAGAGAAAAAGAGGGAGAGAGAGTGTGATGGCAGATGAGTTAGAGAGTGGAGAAACCGAAACCCAGCCTAGCAGCAGCATCAAGCAAGCACTCTCACACTGGGCACACACAGCCCCCATGACCAGCAAAAAATACTGGAGGTCTTTGGGGAAATTTAATCTTGATTTTGAAGAGTTCCAGTTCACCTACATCCAGAGAGCACTGTGACCCAAATACTGATGAATCTGGACCAAACTTGGCACACATACCTGATATGCCAAAAATTGATTACTGGAGAGGTTTAGGGGGAACTGACCTTCCTTTCTGGGGGTTGTAGTTCACCCACAACCAGAGAAAGTGACCTCTCCTGATGATGGACCTGGACCAAACTTGGCACACAGAAACCTCATGACTAACTCAACCTACTGGAGGGATTTGAGGAGACTGACTCACCATAGTGGGAGTTGTAGTTTACTCTACAGCCAGAGAGCACACTGAAACCCACCAATGATGCATCTAGAGCAAACTTGTCCAACATAACAAACTTTAAGTACTGATGAAATTTCTCAGGGTTAATCTGGCATGTTGTCAGTTGTACAATTTAAAAAAATAACGTTTTCTAATAACCTGAGCAACGCCGAGTACCCAAGCTAGTAAAAGAATAAAATATCAAGGAGGCCAGGCCAAGCCAAAAAAACATCAATAATATATATTGAGCTGAGAGCACCAGCTACAAACGGTGGCAAAACAGCAAAGCCAAGACAGGCAGGCATGCAGGTACAACACAATTGAGCAAATGGAGGCACTCGCCTCATTATATAGACTCAACTTTGCGTGAGACATCACAGAGTTCTTCTCCAATTGTCTGTTGAGGCAGGGCTCCCAGAAAACCCTGTGCAAAGAGCACGTGGCAATTCTCCACATGCTGCGTGAGGAGTGCCGTGACGCATGCTCACGAAAACAAAGGATGAGCTGACATGAGCTCCTGCTTGCTTTCATGTCTGGTAGGTTTTTGTACTGGGAGGGACCTTCCTATCGCGTGCTACCAAAGGTACCGAAGGAAAACAGATCCGCGCACAACTCTTCTACTTAAGTTGCTAAAAACACCACTATTATCTCATTTGCAATGAACATATTTTTGCTGTAAAACGTTTAAATGTTTTGATATCACCAGGGTAGACAAAATGAAGAGAATTTCATTTTTAAAACTGCAAGGAGGAAATGTTTTCAGGAAAGCCTTTTTTAAAAAAATGGCCTTAATGTGTGATAAAATGTATTTTTTTTCTTCCTGTAGAAAAAAAGAATTAACATTTCACAGGAAATAAAATCTAAGAAAAAGGAGGGTAAGATAAACCTGAAATTCCATGTAATATATTACTGTATTGCTCTACACATTTTAGAATAGTGTTCATTTGTGTAGCAGGGAAACCAATACTTTGAAAAGCCTCTGCCCCCAGGTTCAGTTTTATTTCCTTTGTTAAAGAAAAAAGCTATTTTAAAATTATAAATCTCAGTTTGTTCAATAAAATGTGCCACTAAAGTCGGAGTGAAGCAGGAACTTGATTTCTCTTTTATAATTAAAGCATAGTAAAGCACAAAAATACTGTATTTTTATGGATTTTATGCAAATTATTTGTGTTTGTGGTTAATAAAAGCTTGGTTCATATTTTCGCTTCATTGATTTCTCAAATATATACTTATTGCTAAAAATATTTAGGAAATAACATCTGTGAAGAGAAAAGTTAGGCAAGCCTGGTTAGAACCGTCGAATCACATCTTAGGGAATCCGGTGAGCCCCCCCCCCCAGGTTTGCAGTCTTATATTTTCTTTCTTTCTGATTTCTTTTCTCTTTTCTCCTCTCAAATGACCGTGCCGTTAAAAACTTTCTCTTTACCTTGTGTCTTTCTCCACTTCCCCTCACTATTCTATACTCATAGAAAAGTTATATAATACCCAACAGTGTTTTATTTGTTGAGGGTCTAAATTGCAAGCTCTGAAGAAATGTACTTCTCATCTATGATTGAACCTGTGGCAGAAGTCGTTTCACATTTCTGAGCAAAAAGCGGTTTGTAAATCAATGATCACTAAGCCATGATGCGAGTTGAAATCAATCTCAGTAGCAATGTGCTTGGGACTGAAGCAGCTGTTGATACCAAAATCTACCTTGTTTCAGACTATGATTTGTTGAAAGACAGGAAGTCATAAATATAATTAAGTCAAGCTTGTAAGTATGAATTACTTGGGAATTCCATCAGCAAAATGTTTCTAAAAATCAAGAGAAAGTTGGCTTATTGGGGACAGTTGCATTTTAACATCAAAGATCTTTGATCTAGGTACTGTCTTCATAGATTTCACATGTTTTCTTCATTTAACATTTCTCATTTATCTTCCAAACAGCTCAGAATAACATATGTGATTCTCCCAATTTCATAAGTGTTAGAGTGAAACATGGGTGACTTTCATAGAATCATAGAATTGGAAGAGATGTGCTTAGAAGTCAGTTCACTTTAGAAACAAACTGTTTCTTTGCTGTGAGGACATACTGCCTGCTAAGACAACTATAACATAAGCAAAGACCAAGGTTTTATCAGTAAAAATATCCTGGTACAAATCTCCTTTATCATATTTGATTGTGTAATCAAATGGTGAAAAGATGGTTTCTGGTTCTGGGTTCTCTTTAAGCGCAAGAAATTGCTAGACTAAGATAAATACCATATATACTCGAGTATAAGCTGGGTTTTTAAGCCTTTTTTTCAAAATTATTATAATTTTTTAAAAAAGCAAACTACAAAAGCCATTTCCTTGAATTTTCTATACAATGACAAGATAACTGGATAATTCATCCCAACTTTCAGAAATATGAAATCATCTAATGATTTTAGAAAACTTTACTTACAGATATTTATTTACTAGAAGCATCAGTCAGTCCTCCTTTTTTGCTGATTCAACAATTTATTGGAACTCCGACTGGCTGCTGCTACAAAGGGACCAATCTCTCCCCTATCCTGACTGGGGCTTTCTGATGCTGAGCAGAATTCTGGGAAATGCCGTTTAGGACAGGGCCTTTTGAATTCTTTAGCATAGGGCTCCTCACCTTCCCAAACTACATTTCCCAGAATTCTGTGCTTTCTAAGTCTCTTTCCCAACAAACTCTGCTTCCTCCCTGCTGCTTCCCTTTCTAATGGCAAGAGGCCGTCAATTTAAAGAGGAATGACAGGCTTTTTTACTTTGCTTTGCTTGTTTGTGCTGAAAATGAAACTGACTGGGATGCTTTCGAGGTTTACAATATTCAAACAACAAGTATAGGGTAAGTTTTGATTCCTAAGTTTTTGGTGTGGGCCCCGCCCACGTGTAGGGTATTGCCTTGTAAATACAAATTTCATGAATTTGATCCAACTTACGCGGAGTGAGAATAATTTTGCACAGCTCTAATAACTACCTATTCTCACATAATAAAATGTCTTGACATTCCAAGTCTTAAGAGAGAGATGTATCCTTGTTTGCAATCTTGGAAGCTCAGAAGACCAAAATGGCTAACTACAGGTTGACAGATAAATGACATAAAACTTCAGTCCCTCAGTAAAAAGATAAAGGTGGGAGAACCATGCTAGCTTCAGTATTAATCTAGAGAGAAAACTTACTAACAAAATATAGCCCAACCCCTTAAACAGTATCCCCTACTTTTTCAATTAAACTGTTGAATTGGCTACTGGACTGTATGGCTCAGTTCTTCTCTTGAATCTGGCACAGAATTCCAGAAAAAAATGTAGATAACATAACCGCCAGTTCTAAAGACTTTATTATGCAATTGGCATTTGTCCCTGAACATTTGATGTGTGCTTCAACTCTGACTTGTCATTTTGCCAGATAGAAAGAGCAGCTGCTGGATGAAGTGGGCAGCTTTGTTACCTTCTGGTTGAACGCTTATATGTGAGAAGAGAACTTGAACTGAATAGTAAACAGAAGTATGGTACATAAATTTACATCTGGTGCTCATTACAGTGAGAAAAAGAAAATCAATAACCATGGCAGCTAAAGAAAAATGTACTTGAAACTAATTTACACATATATTTTTAAAAAATCAACCAGGGGTCCTCTGTTGTAGAATTATTTCAAATAAGTCCCTTAAAGCAAGTTTCAGGCTCAATTTTTAAAAGTAGATACTTGAAGGAAAATGAAAGGAATCTACTATATATACCAGTGTTCCCAACTTGTGCACTGGTCCACAGCCTCACCATTACAACACTGTTGCCTCGAAACCACACAGCAACGAAAGCGACTGGTCTCGCAAAACCCTCATATAATGCTGAGACAATGAGGATGTCGGGAGGGGAGAGGCTGACTACCAACATAAGATTACTACTACCTTATCAGCTCTAGATTATTAAATATGGTTTTATGTGGGCGAGCAGACAGTGACTGTTACATGTTCTGTATCAGAAACTAGAGCTGATGTGGTCTATCCAATGCAAATTTCTGAATCAGCATCACAAGTAATCAAACCGAAACTAAAGTTGACCAAAAACTGGTTTGTAACCCTTTTGGTACTAATGTTGGAGTGTTGTCCCTGGCCAAGTGGTCCCCGGTGGAAAAAAAAAAAGGTTGGGAACCATTGATATATACTAATGTACAGTATGTTAATGTCACACATCAGTTTGAAAATTTGCCAAAAATCTTGATAAGTGAAACATTGTCAAATTTGGTGAGCTTTACAGTGGTAAATGTGTTCTACCATTGTAGCAAGTTTCACCTCAATAACTTTAAAAATGAGGGAGATAGCCCATGAAGTTTCCCCAATGCTAGTAATTATTGCATTAATGCACATGTGCAATTACTGTAACGAAGTAACAAAATTTAGTTAGTCTCATTGTAGAAATGAAATTTTCTCTAATGAAACTTTAGAAACACTTTAAAAACGGAGCACCAGGGCCCCCCAGTTTTGTAAGTACTTTTGAACCATTTTTTTATCGATCGCACATGTCTAATACAGGCAGCCCCCTAGTTACGAACAAGATCAGTTCTGTAGGTTTTTTCTTAAGTTGAATTTGTATGTAAGTCAAAACAGCTACATTTTTAAGTACAACTCCAGCCAAATTGCTTTGGATAGCACAGGGAAGGTTTAACACTCGCATGGTGTTTGTTTTGCTCTCAGTGTCCTGCTTATAAGATTTCACCACACTTTCTGCCCCTGTGAGAATTGGATTTTGAAGAATGTGACTTGTTTTGGAAACAAGGATTGGTTAGAAAGCTTCAGTTGAGCCCCCTTTCCCCATGATAAGTCTTTCAGGAGTGAATTTCCCTTCAGAGCAGTCGATTTCTCCCACTTCCTGTTGTCCCATCTCTGTTTGTAACTATCAGTCGAATGTTTGTAACTCAGGGACTGCCTGTATATTTGCAACTGAAGTGGAAAAGCCTAACTTCATTGATTCTATGCTGCTTTTCTTCTAATTCATCTTGCAATCATAGGGGAGGTCCTTTTTTGTACACTCTTCCCATAACATGCGAAACAGAATGTAGATCACAAGACCAAAATATCACGTTATTTCTATGATATGTTTGTTTGTTTTTAAAATATCTGTGCTTGATTGAGTCTGTGAAACTTTGAAAACTGGTTTGTTTTAAGACTTTTGGTTGGAACAGTGAAGGTATAACAAAATGGATTTGAGGTCTGTTTGTTTGTTTGTTTTTCGTTATTTGCCCAATAAGACTACCCCTACAATGTTTCCTGGTAACCTTTTAGTGGAAAAGCCAGAATGAGTCCCTCATCAATTATAAGCCTGGCCAGGGGAACATTTCCGTCTTCCAACTGGCAAATTACTACAAACCTTTTTGGTCCTACAGTAGGGTTGATGAAATAGGTACAATTGAAACAGCTGCTGTTTTTGAACAAATTGAATGGGCAAGCATATGCTTGCTTGCTTTCTCCCACGGAGATAGTTTGTGTGACTTTCCAAAGGACAGACCGAAATATTAGGTGCTCTAAAACCAATATTTCCTCAGTTGTCTAAGGCACCTTTGTGGTCAAGACAATGGAAACTGTAACTTCAAAAAAACAAGCTTCAAAAAAACCCAGATTCCAGTAAGAGATTCCAATGACTTGAAAGGGCCAGAAATGTTAACAACTTTTTCTTTATCTTTTCTCTTCATTTGTCTTTCCATAGAAATTGTCATTATGTCTTCCTTGAGAGACACATTGGAAGATTACTTGAAATACAATAAAATCCATATGATGGGTCAACCAAAAATGCACAAAAACCACCATGCAACCTTTCAAAGCTCCACTGGAGTCTTCATCAGGCAAACACATTAAAAATCTGAGGCAAAGAAAAAAATAGAATCACAGGTCTGCTTTTTGTCAACATGTTCTATGATTTGAAGGACAAAAATATTTATCCCCTTCTCTTAGAGTTCTAATGTTATAGTGGGCATTTGTTACTACATTGATGCATTATTGCACTATAACTCTTTACATTTATACAGGCAGTCCCCAAGTTACAAACAAGATACGTTCTGCAAGTTTGTTCTTAAATTGAATTTGTATATAAGTCAGAGCATGTATATTTTTAAATGCAACTCTCTCTCTCTCTCTCTCTCTTTATACATATATATAGCACAGCCTATAAAAGGGGGGGGGAGAGAGAGAGAGAAAGTCAGATCAAATTTGTT